ATGTATTTTTAGGTGTAAATTTTTGGAATAAAAAGAAAAATTTTAATATTAAAAATTGTTTGAATGATGATTTTAGTTAAATTTCAATGAAATTATTGTGAATAAGACTATTGAACAAAGTAAATAGGTTCAAATATATAAAATTAAATTTTAGAACTCAAGAGGCTAAGATTGAGATCCAAAAAAATAAAATAAAATAAATACCTAAGTGTTGAAATATGAGTGAAAATTGTGTTAATAATATTATTGACACATTATGATGTAATTTAAATGTAAACTAATTGTTATTAAGTACCAATCAAGCTTTGAAAGTGTTGTAATTTGAAGAGTAACCTTTGACCTCTCAAAAGTTTAGATAACTGGAGGAAATTTATTTTATATATTTGTGTGTTAATTAATTATTTGTGTTTGTAAAACAAATGAATATGTATGTATATATATATATCTATCCAGATCTTGAAATTATTGTTTGTAATGCATATGTGGCTTTATTGAGATCATATAATTTATGACCAAGTTAATTGTGACATGATTTGGGTAATGAGATTGAGGGTTGATGATGATATACATACTCTTAATTATAAATTGTGGATTGTACATGGTGATGAATTGTGTATGAGCATGTTGAGTCTTTATAAGATACTAATGTGAATTATGTGGTGGCATGAAAATTGATGCATAATACATGATTGAGATATGATGATTCTTGATACTCGTTGAGTATTAAAAATGAGGAACATGTGGGTAATTGTGAATTACACATATGAGTTATTGAAATGCATTTTCTCATGAGTATGATCATATGGCAGGAGCTTGCCTTAGTAAAGGAGCTAGCGGTTGTGAAAAATTATATGATACTTGAATATTAACTGATAATCCTGAGGGTTATAGTCGTTACTTGTCTTGTAAGATAATGTAATATTGTTTCTATTAAGAGACTTAACCCTATTGGCCTACCTGAAGTTTTGGGTAAAGTTAGTCTTAAGCATGACCCCTCATAGTGTGTGATTTAGAAAAAATGTGTTCATAATTGATTAAGGTAGTCTTGGCCCGGTAGCCCCTCACAATATGATTAAGGCCTTGGGTTGTCTCACCACATGGATAATCCCTTTCGGTTATTGACCCACAGATTTCATGTCAAAGGAAATAAGAGAGAATATAAGGAAAAGATTGATTATGCATATTATTATTATCATGCCATTTGAGTAATTGATGGCTATATTTGAGAATATAATTGTAATTGTGGAAATGAGAACATATGGTAAATATGACCATATGTGAATGATATATATATGGCTATTTGTGCCAATTTTGGATGAATATTCAATACTTGTGAGTAATCGTGCTAATTTTATACTTGACTTTATTTTTGAAATTATTTACATGAGTTAGATGTTAATGTGATTAGCATGATCTTGATCTGATTATTTACATGATCATCTCAATGAATTTATTAGCCACTTGCATTTTTTATTAATTATCATGCATTTATATAACCTAGATATACATTGGTTACTAAGTGGTTGTACTCACCCCTCTCTTTTAAAATATTACAAGAACTAGCTCATTTGGAATGAACAGAAAAAAGGAGCATTAGGCTAAGTAATAATAATCACATTTGTGGGACTTTTTCTTTTTAGTTTGACATGTGTATTTAATTTATGATATTGTCAACTAGGACAATATATTTTTGATCTACTTGCATTATGAGTTTTGTGTTGGGTGAAAATATATTTTGAGCCCTTAGGTATGTGGTTTAGAGCTTATGTTTATATTAGTGGGCCAAAAATATTTGTATAAATGGAAATAGTCATTGCATGCATGATTTGAGAACTAAAATATTGTTATGGTTTCTCTTTGTGTTTTGATGTCCAAGGGTGAGTGATTGATATTAATTATATGTAAATGAAAAGGAAAATTCATGCATATAATGAGCCATTTGATGAATGGATGATATATAGAGTATGATGACTAGTTGATAATTATTGTGATAAACGTAATTGAGACCTTGACCCCTCGCTGTTAGTCATGGAAGGATTTAAGTGGTCAAGTGTCATGTTAGTAAATATACATATATTATGTGGAATAAGGCACAGAGAAAATAAGGGGTTTTTCTCTCATCTTGAAATGTATTTCTTAATCATGCTTTCGTGTATGTTTAATTAAATTATATGAGTTCTTGAAATATTTTAAAGATGGGATCCTTTATTTTGAATCGTTTGTAAAAATACATGTTAAGAATTTGTTTATGTTAATTTCTCATAAAATAATCTTTTTAGATTAATTCTTGATTAATTATAATTAGTGTGATAATGTAAGTTCTAATTTAGAACACTCATTATAAAATTCACTTTGTAACCTTTAAGCTAGACCTTAGAATAGAATGCATTGCTTTTATAGACCTAGCCCGTTGGATTTTGAGTTTGAAGGCCATCTTTTTTTAAATTTCAAAAGCTCGATTGAACTATGAGGGCTTATGATCTGACCCTAAAACTTGTATTTTTTATTTTTGTAAAATTTAAATTAATTTTAAAATATTCAACAAAAATTAAAATACAAATGTGACATCCAAAGGACAAAAAATAAACAACCATGTAAATGTTCTAAAATATATTCTAATTAATCTCTAAAGGTTTAATTATCATTCCCAAATATAAACAAAATATTTAAATGTTTGACTAGTCTTCAAATAATTCAATGTTTTGGTGGTTATGGTTTAAGTATTTGAAGCTGAGACTCCGGAAGGAATTTTTAAATGAAAAAAACATAAAGTTTTTAAAAAAATGAACTTTTGAACTTACTCGAGCTTGACCTTTAATCCCAAGCTCAAAAAAGCTTTGTTAACCCTTCTTTTTTTCCTCACAACAATTTCTCAAGTCTAAAGTCTAGACTTATATAAAACATGAAAAAAAAATGAGTTGGCCCCAATTTCAAACCTACTTTTAACATTGTACCCCTTGGGTCGGATCATGGCTGCGCTAAACTAACTATTATTCGAATGCAATTGAACTAAAAAAATCATACAGGGACGACAATTGATCGCCATGTAAGGACATTGATATAAAGTGAGGACTTTATTTTTAAAAAATAAATGTTTCCATAGTAAATTTTGAAGTTCATCAAGTAAAATATAGATTCTCATAATCAATATTAATATCATCAATCAATCAAAACATTTACTACTGTATAATGAATGGTTAATGTAGATGAATAATTAGTTGAATAGATTTTTTTTTTTGCTTTTTACTAATACTTGCTATACGATTTTATTCTACACCCTCTAAATACTATTAATTTTTATAAAATTATAAAATAAAAAGTTACTCAATATTTAATATTTTTTATATTATCTTCAATCGGGCACCCTTGGCTGAAAATGCTTGCTATTGTATTGTCCTCTACACCTTCCATGCTTGCACTCACATGCACGCTTTACAATTTGCATGTTCTTCTGGCTTATAATAGAGTACACGGGTAACTACTATGCAATTATTAAAAAAAAATAATTGAAACCTTTATCATTCAAAAAAAAGTTAAAGTATATATTTGATCCTCTAATTGTGTATAAGGTTTTAAGTTAGTCCTTTAATTTTATAAAATATATTTTTAGTCCTTTAATCCCAATACCATTAGTTTCAAATTGTTATTTGTTATGCTAATAATTGTTATTTTAAAAAATAAAATTTAATATGTTAATATTTAAAAATATTTTATCAATATTTAAATGTTCAATATAAAAAAATTTTGCCAATGAAACTAACAATGTTAAGATTTAACAACTAAAAATACACTTTATGAATATAAGGGACCAAAATAAAGTCTTGAATAAAGTTAAAGAACTAAATGTGTATTTCAGTTTTTAAAAATTATATATCTTTTTAATATACTTTCATTCATTAAACACCTTACATGAGTGTTTTATAGATGACTATTAAAATATTAATGAATCAATTCATTTTTTATCATGATAGTTGTCTCAATATGCACAGAGTAGGCATTCTGAACAAGCCAATCAGATATCAATTTTACTTGGCCAAAAAAATCAGAAATTAATTTTGTATTGTAACATGCTGAATGCTTCCATTCGTGTTGCTCAGATAGTCATCAAATTGTAGTATCGTTATTTCACGACTTCTTTTCTATTTAAGATTTTCTATGCTGATTCATAAAAAATAAAAAATAAAAAATCCATGCAGGTTTGGCTCTGTCAATTCTGATAAACGCATATTTTTCAGAATTCACCACACTGCTGCTTCAATGTTTTTAATTATGTATTTCGAAGATCAGTTGATAGCGATACTGTTCATCACCCTCCATCGCGTCAATGCCCATAACCTGTCATGCAAAACGCATGGGTAATTTTTTTTTTTTTTTAATGATTTCATATGCTTAAGTTCTTAGAGTGTTTGTTATTTTAGGGGAAAAAAAAGAGTTCAAAACCAATTTTCCTCATTGGCAACACATGACGCAGAAGGGTTCGAGAGCTTCTGGCTCTAAATATGAACTTCAAAAAATTCATTGATCTATAGGTTCCTGAAATGAAAAGTCATGCGAGACCTAACGAAAAGATCATCAAAGGAAAAACACTTCAGAGCTCATATCATGACAAAATATTCTGATACTAGCATGGCAAGACTGTTCTTTTATGTCCAATGAGTAATATGATAGAGTATATCGATATGATCTATATATCTTTGACACACCTCTGTTTAAATTGATTCGCTCTGTTTAAGGATTCTTCATAACTTAATAAGCATTTATTATCTGTTTCTTAGGAACTCTTTTCCTTTTTGTTGCTGTGTTCTGTTTTCAGAATGTAAAGGATGGGATTGGTATCAATGAAGCTAATGCTGGCTATAGTTGACCATGCCTAATTCTTCTGCAGAGCATATTCCAAATGCTGCTCTTGTCCGAGCTTTTCGGTCTTGGCTATCAAATATCTGGCTTTTTTATTCCGAATCTGTGGTCAGGTTATATTTGCTCAGTTAGTCTGACTAAAGTTTCTCAAATCAGTGACTAAAATTCATATTTTGACACGACACAGCCTTTGTTTCAAGGACATGTTCACAGCTAATGATAGGAACTTAAATAGAGAATCAACATCCTACAAAACCATTAGGAACTACTTGCTTGCAGTGTAGATACACCATTTCGAACATAAATCAGAATCAAAATCCTACAAAAGTGAGAGAGAACACTCACGTTCGACTCTCGTTCTTTCAACTAACAAGACCAGTGGCAAATACTTCAGCTGGAAAACAAATGAGACTAGAATCTGGCTTACTTCTTGCTGTGTGGTATATGGTAATCAAGAAACAACACATATCACATGATCCCAGCACATGGCTTCACTTCCGGCCACCTGGTATTTGTCTCACCGCTGGTCCTTTGAGACTTTATCTAGAGCATCAAAAACATATTGAACAGTAACATCCTCCACAATAACTGTCTTATCTCTAGACTTGGAACCAGTGCCTATCGATACTTGCCTTCGTTTTACTCCTAAAACCTGCAATCACACAAAGAATGTTACAATTTAGACTAATTTGTTAACAACAATAATTACGCTGAAATATGAGCACAGATAAAAATGTCCATAAGTTGTATGGAAAACCAAGTAGGGCTACAGAATTGGTGACTCAATACTGAAGTAGAAAAGGTAGCCATGTAAAACTATTTACATTAATAATATGTTTCCTTTTTCTTTTTTGCATACAATAATATGCAAGCCTCAGGCTTGAGAAAGAGAAACTAAAAGTCTAACATAAAACAAAAGACAGAGCTAAACCCAGAAGGATCAGCAGCAACTCCATCTGTCATCTTGCAGAAAGATTCTGCAGTTTGAAGGCAAAGTATGCAGAAGCATTTCAGAAATGGGCTTAATCATCTTATGGATTGGAATTATGAGGAAGTAACTATTGGGCCAAAAGATGGTAATATTGGGTTTAGCGCCTACATTGAAGGTGGTTGCAATATATAGATGGAGGAATGAGACGTGTGAAGGCAGAGCATTATTTTGGTGAAAATCGTCTTCCTCTGTCTGCTTCTCCTCTCTGATTTTTTTCAGTTTCCTTCTGCAATTTTAATTGTATCTGATTCGTAGCCTTGTGACCGAACCCACTATACTTTTACCAATAGATATCAATGAAATCTCGATGATAATATCAACCTAAAGAGAACCAGTATACCATCTACACCTCTAACACAAGCGCGCAGCGCCAGATTATAAAGCATATAATAAAAGACAGCTCATTTTGGTAAAACATGATTCCAGAAGGTAAGTATCTCATGATAAATGATACATAAGTTGTTGATACAACCCATTGGGGGTAGCCGAGCTCATTGAATGGGACGGGGCTTCATTGTTGTATAATTCATTGGAAGGCAGATAAAACAAATCTAGACAATCCAAGGAAGAAGCAACGCGCCAAGCAGGCATAGAGGCGCAACTGATTCCGGCATAAAATTAGATGAACCCATACAAAGTAGGATCTAATCAACTATGTGTGCGAAACTCAGAGAGTACCCATATTTACGATATGACTGCACAAAATTTTCATCCTTCCAGCACTAATCCCTGTTTCAACCATCGCAGAAGAAGATTTCCTAAACTAGGTTTAGAAACAAGAGAAAAAATTATCCCCAAATTTTAACATCTGATACTGGAAACTCAAATGAACATGCAACATTTCATCTGGCTCGTCTCTCAATATTAGGGCTTCGCCATCTCTCCCCAGTAAAATTTCGTTTTCTAAAGATGCAAACTGAGTCAGACTCGGGGACAATAAACTAGAAAACAACAAAACAAAATAAGAGCTTACGGAGCTAATGTAATCGAGAAGGGCCGTGTTTGCTTCTCCGTCCCTGGCCGGTGCGTCAATTTGCACTCCTACAGCTTCATCACTGATATCTACAATTTCATAACGATTGGGAATTAAAACCAAAAGCACATGAATTGCATGCATATCAACAAGAAGAAGAAAAAAAGAAGGACCTGTCGGAAGCAGTTTTGGAACCTGGCTTGGCGTGGATGGTAAATAGCAACGGAAAAAGGAGTCATGGATCGAATACAAGATGGCCAATTGTTAGCTTTTGCTGATTGAGTTGGTTCACTCTTGTCAACCTTCGCCTTGCCCCTCTTTACCGGCGGCATTTTAATTTTCAGATTACCGATGCCGTGGCGGAGGACTCCCAGTGCTGTGCCGAGACCGAAACTACTAACAACGCGCCACCTTGCGTACGCACTACACGAGAATCTCCCTCTAGTCCCATTGTCTTATATATTTATATATATATATATATATATATATATATTAGAAGTTTTGCCAGTATTATTAAAAAAAAAAGTATGACGTCAAGTTTGTGTGTATTTTATTTTATTTTTTTTATTTTAGATATTGTAATTATATTTCGTGTTTTTTCAATTATGTTGTTCAATCCATCTAAAGTGTTATTCCTGCATGTGTTGTGTAGAAAAAGAATAAAGGATAGTGAATTTGCGCGTGGTATTTAAATCTGTTAATTTCCTTTGTTAGCATATACTTTCTAAGTTTTAAAAATAGAAAATATTTTTAATTAAATTTTATCTCTTAGTAAAGTAATTATTTATTTTTAAATTAATTTTATCTTTTTATATTTATCTTTATTCATACCTTAAAATAAATATAAGTAATTTATTAAATAGGACACTTTAAAAAAATAATCATTTTATTTCAAAACTAAAAATACATTATATTTTTAAATATCTAACTCTTAAATACCTTAATTTTTTTAATAGAGAGAGTGTCCAATTTCATAGTCATCTCCCCCGTGTGCCAAACAAGTTAAACCAAATATATAAGATAATGTTTAATATATTTGAATTTAAAATTTTATAGTTAAAGCCTTGGAATTCAAAATTTATGTATTTAATATCTTTTATTTGAACAATGTATATGTTGAATAAGAAAGTCACTCAAACGCTCTTTTTTATAAAAATTTTTGAATTCATTGAACAACGCTTACAACAATTTTGTTAAGCTAAAGAAACCTTAGGAAAAGCTTTCCTGAAATTTCAAAGGTGTAAATAAGCTTTAAAATAAAACAAACTTTCAAAGGAGTAATAATTGAATACAATGAAAGTTCATAATTAATAAAATAGAGAACTAGTTTAAAATTAGTGACGGAGTCCAAGATCTTAGTCAATGGGGTGCAAATAATTTTATAAAAATTAATATTTTTAAAAAAATAAGATTATGTTAGGGCTAAATAAAAATTATAATAATAAAATAAGTTTTATCATCATTTTTTATTTTAAAAAAATTATCTTGAAACAGCTAATATAATCTTTTTATTATAAATATGCTCTTCATATGTTATCTAAAATCATTAAAATATTATCTATCTAATGAGTTTTAAGCTTAAATATTTTTCATTTAATTCCAAGGTGTAAAATATTAAGAGTAAGAGGTGCAAGGTTGTAGATTTTATATGCTCCACTTATAGTCTTTTTTCCCCAAAGGATGCACCTCCTTAACCAGTGCGGCTTTGCCACTATTTAAAACTTTAATGTAATAGATAAAACAGTTAATGCAGTCCATTATCTCTAAACACGCTCACTTAAATAAAATTTTATTTATAATGGTGGGGAATATTATAGTCGTTGAGAGGCTTCGAGTAGCTGTTTATGATTGTTTTCATTTCGCATGTGTATGAGCAAATTAAACAAAAACACTTTTTTCCACAAATGTTTCAGGTTTATCCTCGCGTGAATGAAAGGCGCAAAAGGCTCTTAAGAATGTTAAGCTTGATAGACTCTAGAATTTCCGTGTTTTGAGAAGATAGAAGCACAAAATTTTTTAAAAGACTAAAACGCGCGTGGAGGCTATATGGATCACACAAGAAAATAGATACAAGATGATGAATGATTGAAACTTGCACGTGTAGGATCCACAACTTGTGAGTAAGGCTGAACAAAAGAATAATAGGATAGGATTTCAGGCCTAACTCAAAATTACTAATTTGTTTTATAAAAATTATTGAATTAGGTAACTCATAATTTGATCAATACAATTTAAAGTTGAATAAAATTAACTTAGTTCATAGGATGAGAATACTAATCTCAATAGTTCAACACCTTTCTTTTTTTTTTTCTTCCATTTTTCCTCCATGACACAGATAACAATTCATTTTAACATGATAAACTTAATTGAGATAATAAAAATACTTATAATCATATAAAATTTATAAAAAATATTAAAAGTTAATCATAATAAATTTATAATAATCTCCAAAAATAAAAAATACTTCATTACAACTCATAACAACAATTAACAAACTTTAATATGTCTAAACTACTATATTGTAACTACAAGTTAATACAAACTTCGACCAACTAATCAAAACCATCTCCCACAGCATTAATTTTACTTGATATGTCTATAAGAAATTAGAGAATAAAGTGAGACACTCATTCAACAATCAGGGCTTAGGCTTCACATGTAACTATTTTTAAAATAATTAAAACAATTATAGATATTTAAATAATTTTTTAACTTTGAGCCATGCTTAACACACTACACACCAAAATCCGCGTGCTCCAAGTGCACCTAACCAAGCTCCTATTGCCACTCTAAAATTCACGTGTTTCATACCTAGACCTCGTGTGTTTGAGTAGGCCAAAAACAAACATATTATCTAAAGCTTTAAAACTTATGTCTTTTCTTACGAAACTCATGTGTTTGAGAATCACAAAATAAAATATATTCTATAAATCTCAAACTCATGAGTTAGTCTCTAAAATTTACAAGTTTGAGTTTCATAAAGGTGTTTTATCTAAAATTTGCAAGATGAGGTTGAAACATGCATTGCTAAAGATATTTTCTAATTTCAAAACTATAAGTATGCATATGTGCACTTAAGTAAAGTCGAAAAATGAGTTGAACTTACGGGTTAGCCCATTTAACACGCAAAATTTCACGAGTTGAATTGAACAAATTGGCTTATTTTTAAAACGGGATGAGTTAGCCCAACTTGCAAACTAGCTAGATAAAACGGGCTATAAGCCGGGGGCTAAACAAGTTAGCTCGCGGGCTAGCATGATTTTTTAAAAATAATTTTTTTATTTTTAATCACATTATATATTTTTATAAATCTACAACAAAAAAATATTTTTTAACTATATAATTTATAATTTCAAAATATGTTCTTTATATTTGAATTATAATATGAATCTTTTTTACAATTTGCAAATAAATTTTTTATTATAGGTTGTAAATCGATGATTTATTAATTTTTATATAAATATTTTAAATATATATTATTTATTAATCTCATAAGAACTATTTATTAAAATCATAAATATGAATTTATTGAAAAAAAAATATGAGTTTATATTCAAAATTTTCTTTTCAGTGAAAAAGATAATACACTAAGGCGAGAAGATAAATAATAGTAAAAATATAACAAAATAAATTTGCTTGGTTGAATTTTATGTTTATTTTATTTATTTATATGTTTTTTAATTGCTAATTTTCCTTAAAGTGTGAAATAAATAAATAAATATATATATATATTTATATTAATAAATTTTAATTTATAAAAAAAAATTGGTACATTTTTGTGGGCTTGCCTGCAGGCTTGCCAACCCGCAAAAAAATGAGTTATATTAAATTTTTTAGCTTGTTTTATTTAGCAAGTTGGCCAACCCAACTGACAAAAATTGCCAGCCAGCGCATCACCCGTTTGTTCGGTGCTATGTCTTAGGCTTATCTCTCAAACATATTTTGCTAATGTATGCAAATGCAAGCTCTTATATTTAAACAAGTTTTTAACAATAAGAACTATGAGAAAATGAAAAAAAAAATCCTATAAGACTGGAACTTTCCTTGTTCTTGCCTATTTATAATCTTGAGTTGGTTTGTCATGGTTAATGTTATAACCTGCTCAAAACAAAACCTCTTTTTGAATTCTATTATCATCAAAACAAAGTATTCAACAACAAGCATATGTTAAAGTTAAAAAAAAAAAAAAGGATGGGTTAAAATTGAAAGCAAAATAGAAGATTGAAAGTGACAAGCTTACCTTAATTGTTGAAAGACGAGAATGATATGTGAGAGGAGTGACAATAATAACAAAGACACTGACGATGAAAATGTGAAAAAAATAAAGGATTGGAGTAAATAGAATTGCAAGTATTAAGGTTCATAGAGAATTTAAAATTATAAAGAAGTCATAATAAAACATTGATCAAATACAAATCTAAAAATTTAATATACTAAAATGAAGGATTTAATTCAAATCCAAATTCTCACGTATCCAAATGCATCCTGGAAGAAAGTTTTACCTTTTTACCTTTTATTTTTAATTATGCTTAGTCAATTTCCCAGCATATTTTTATCATGTTAATAAAGGGCTTAATAGTGTTGCAGTGAAATTAATTCCATAAGTTGGTTCATAATTTTTAAGTGTATTTTTAAAATTATAAGAATTAATATTGCATATTGATCAAATTAAAAGCAGTAAGAAGATTGAAATATTACTATAGAGATAAAAGTCATGTTTTCTTTATGTAAAATTGTATTATATTTATATTTATATATCAATTTCTACCTTTTTGTGATAATTGTGGGCAGTAAACTATGCTGACAGTAGAAAATATCTCCCAGATATTGAGGACAAATAATAAATCTCTCTTAACTAAATTGCTCCATACCAAAGAGTTGGGATTCGAACTCTTCTTAGTTTTTATCTTACTTCTTAACTAGATTTTGACCCTTACGATGGACGATAATATTTTGTTTTTACTTGTTTATAATTATTGTAAAAATTATTTGACATATTTTTTTGAATATTTGTAAAGATTTTTTATCATTTGAAGGGTAAGCACAAAATAAAAAAATAAAAATTTTAAAATAATTAATTTTTTGTACTTGTG